CCCATACCCACACCCACTCACCCACCGACACCCATACCCACACCCACACCCATACCCACACCTACACCCACACCTACACCCACACCCACCCTCAACATGGACAGTATCCTCGTCATCATTATTATGAATACATTCAATGTGAGGCACATTCTGTCGCTTGACTCAATCTTTAGTCAGATAAGTTCATTATTTCCTTCTGGATCAACCGCTCAGAAATTGACCAGTAATGAAAGTAAATATAGTTTCTTCTTTTTTCGTCAGTTCAGTTACTTCGAAGACATTTCCAGAGTGAATTTTTGCACTCGTTTGTTCTTGTTGTCGACCACATAGAGATGACCATGGCGATCAAATGACAATCCCATGGGCCCATTCAGTTGATTTCCTTGTACTACTTGATCATCCCTACATGCCACTAACATTCCTTGTTGTGTTCTTTGGGAGCAGCGAAGAATATGATGATTCTCGAAATCAGCTACATAAACAGTACCTGATTGATCGACCAACACTCCTGCAGGATTGAGTATTTGCGATAGAACACCTCCTTGTCCTCGACCCGCTACTACTATCATCCCTTCTTTTGCCCCTGGTACCCACTTCATCACTCGGCGATTGTTAGTATCAGAGATAAACACCGAATGTTCTCGATTGACGAAGAGATACGAAGGAGAATCAAGTTGACTGAGCCGATTCCCATTTCCATTCCCACCGGCCACAACTGTTCCTTGTACATTATCTCGTCGATATCGTATCACTTCATTTTTTTCGTAATCAGCGACATACAGTGATCCTGCGTCGTCCATGGTTAAACCCCAGCAACCGATGTTGGAGAGCACGATTTCTCCATGGATGCCATTTCGGCGAGGCCAACGAACCACTCTTTTATTACCACGATCGCAAATGAGGAGACTATCACGCTCCTTGTCCACGATTACATCTAGTGGCTGATTCAGTTGATGTGCACCGTCTCCGCTTCCATGTCCACCTGCCACAATTTGTGCCTGTGTTTCGCCGTCGTACCACGCCACAATAGTGTGATTTTCATAATCTCCAACGTAGATTGTCTGATCCTCAGCCACGAATACACTGTAGGGATAAACGAGAGTGAAATTCTGTCCAGCCACTATCTGGCCGTGTTCGTTCCATCTAGCATTGGAATGAATATCTACTCCACTGGCACGCATGGGCACTATAATATAATTATAGATAGAAAATTGAGAAGATGTGTTCTTAATGTTTTTCTTAAACTACAAGATGAAAGTCTAATATTTTGGATATATCTCTTATCAAGATCAGACTATTCATTGACACAAAAATATGCATCTTCGTGAATTTTCGTGGAGTCTGTCCTCTATAGGTTAACACTGGCATAGTACTACTTCTGCGGATCTTGCACCGAGCAATGAGTTAAGAAGTAGGAATCTAAAGCTTCAAGATGGTTTTAAACTAAATCCGAAGAAAATCTCACATGAAGTGAATGGCCTCTTCTTGTCTGTGAAATAGACTGAGTAGCAGTGTCTAGAAAAACTTTGCCTTCTTCATATACTATTTCGCTACACACATACCTAGTAAGGGCTCCAAGTGAGTGCCGTATATGATGGAAAGCTTGATATTATCACACCAATAATTTGTGTTATTACTGCTGTTGACGAGTGCATTAAATTTGATGAGTACTTCAAGTTCTCGCATATCATCATTTAAAGTCAGATTGATGTTCGCTTCGGATGAATCTATATACAAAAGATGTATTGAAATAAGTATTTGGATCATGCAGCTTACTTGGTTTTCCCGGAGCACAAACATATTTGATCCGCCTATTTCCTTTCAGTTGAATACAGACACCGGTGCTCATACTTGCAGTTAAGACGGCTTCGGAGTGTGGCCAAGATCGAAAATCCCACTTGTTTGATAGATCAACGCGTTGTAACATAGTAACTCCAGTAGTCAATGATTGTAACGCAAATCGGCAGTCAGTATCAGTTTTATTAAACAAGACTGTATTGATATTGCCAGTTTGTAATACCCAAGGATCAACAAGAGAAGTATTGCAGTTAGCATTGCCATTAGTGATTAAGTTCATATCGCGAGAATGTGTTTTATTGGATAGTATACTGTCATGAATAGAGAAAGCACTTTGAAGTTGTTCGTCTGCAACATTACTGCCACTAAAGTCAACTTTGTATAAGTTGGCTCGAGAAAAGGTCACATTATTCAAGTTAGCTACATTGAATTTAGTATACTTAATGTTAGCACCCATAAAGATCGAGTGCGTTAGTGTTGCAGAAGAGAATTCAATTAAAACAGCTGTGATTTGTCGAAAATCCGTGTAGGATGCTTTGGTAAAACGGAAATCAGTTGAGCCTAGAGATGCAATGAAAAAAACAAATTTGAAGTGAAAGAGAAAAAGATTATAGCGAAGTTTACCTAAAATGGCCAGTGAAAATTTAACACTTTTGAATTCAGCAGTGGAAAATATAACTGTATGGACGTTAGCGGATACAAATTCGACATTAGATAGTTTAGCAGAGTTAAATTTAACGTCAAAGAATATACTAAATGAAAAGTTTACGTTCTCAAACTGTGCTGACAAAAACTGCACACTATCCAACTGAGCTAACGACAGGTCGATATTGAAGAGTGAAGCTTGAGAAAAATCAACGTTATTGAGTGTTGTCGATAAAAAGTTGATATTTTCGAGTACGGCCGATGAAAAGTCAACATTATCGAGCTGAGTAAATGAAAAATTGATGTTCTTCAGGTGAGTGTGTGAAAAACTAACATTATGCAAGATCCCAAATGAAAAATCGATGTTCTCTAAATCAGTGTGAGAAAAACTAACATTGCGTAGGATTCCAAATGAAAAATTCGCCACATTAAAGTGCGAGCGGGTGAAGTTGACGCGCTCCATCTCAATTCCTGTGCATGTAGTATTATACAGAAATATCTTAGTCAATGATAAGTCATTCAGTTGTTTTTCATCAACTGCTACATGACGGAAATCAATGTCACGAAGCTTTGCTGCTGAGAGATCTAGTGATCGGCGTTCCTCTGTTTCATGAAGTTGCTTGGCTTCATGAAGAAATTGAATAATCCGAGTATTACGTTGTGAATCTAGTTGACGAAAGATATTTAGAGTTTTTACTCGAGCTAGCGTAGCTAGGAAGTCTTTAGAGACCAATGATCCTTTATTCTTCTCCAACAATAGACCCATTTCCTTGACGTAAGTATCGAGACGTTCGTTTTTATATTTTTCATCACTGAGATTTCTCTCTTGATCACGCTGCTTGTCAGATGCCATTCGATCCTCATCACGTTGTTGTTTAGCTGCTTGTTGCTGTTGAAAAGTAATGACAACAGTGAAAATACCAAGTGCTAGTGGTAATAATAACGAAGACAAAAACTTGAGAACATCTGCCGTTTTTAAGCTGTTAAAATGACGAGTTACACGAGAAGATCGATCTGTTTGTGTGCTTCGTTCTGGGAAAATCATTCTCTATACTTCGTTTAATGAGTAGTCATAAAGAAAGAAAGAATTAGCAGAGATAATGGTTCCAGATGCATTTTGTCGTTGTTAGTACCTCAAAATGAATAGAGAACTTTTTTACAGCATTAGAAAACATGAGATAACGTGTTTTCAAATCAATGAAAATCACGTTCTAATACTGTTTTATGTGCCTGCTATATCTTCTCATTGTTTGGTCAATAGAATGTGACAAAGTAAAAATCATATCTCTTATTTGTGTCACATATTTTACCTCGAATTATATAGACGAGAAAGAGAAAACTGTGACTTATCAACTGTAATTATTGATCTTTTAGATTGATTAGATATAAAAGTCTTATTTATTCCGTTTGTATCTTAGTAAGGACTGAATTAAAACATCATCTGCTCGGATCTGAAAAATCGGCAGCATCTCAGTATAGATTTTGTCAAAATAAAAAGATCGATCATTTTATCAATTTTCGATATAATACCTTCTTCTAGTATAATTTTTGCAAATATAAAAAAATGAACAAATTAGATAAGTACACAAAAGAAAAGCATTCTACTAAAACAAATTTTAAACGATTGTCTTTTTTATTAAATGTGCTAAATAAATCCAAACAGCAAGTATATTATTTGGATATGGATGAACATGAACAGCTAATGCAAATTCAATTCCACTTGTTGGATGTTCAAACATTTTTGTTGAATAAACAGCATCAACTATTGTTTGTATATTACTATATGGCATTTGTAAAGGAAATCCAGTAATCTAAAGAGAAAAAATTAAATATTTATAGAATAAAAATGTAAATAAAATTTATATACTTCATTTGTAGCTTGAAATTCTGTTAATTCTTGTTCAATTTCATTTGCATTAGCTTGTCCCATTGTTAAAAGTATTTCTTTACTAAAATTATAAAGTAACAAGTTACATCTACATGAATATCTCATTTTCTATGAGATTTAGTCATACCGTTTAATGATTTGTTGTAAACGTTTTTGACAAGCCCAATGCCAATGTGTAACATGTGGTTCACGCCATTCAATAAATTTATCACGTAAAATTTCATAAATACTCTTTTCAAGTAAAATAACATCATCACCACGTGTTGCTTCATAATGAAGATCGTCTGGCTGAACAGATGTCCAAAGTGCATTTTCACGTGGAAATGAACGATCAAAAAATGGTCGCCATTGTTTTGTATTACTAACATCAAAACTCATTCTTGATGGTAAATCTTGATCTTGTATATTAGCCCAAACCTATAATAAAAAGTATCAAAATATATTTATTTTCCATTTTAAAAATCTTACATTTTCTTGATTTGCTAATAGATATATACTTTGAATTGGATTCCATGTATCAAGTGTTGATGCATCTTGTCCATCAGATATACTCCAACAAGTTGGAAAACGTTGTGTATCATCTTTTGTTAAAACAAAACAACATGGACCACTATAAATTGATACACCTATATAATGTAAAATTTCATATTTTCTTTGAATAGAATTTATATATATATAACATACCCATAGCCACCCAACTTTTCTTATTCAACTTTAAAAAGTAATTATTCAATAAGACGGCATGTTCTTCATCATCACCTGCCATTGTACGTAAAAATTGCTAAAATATGAATAGTGATTTATATAATTTCAATGGTAAATTTACTTACATCTGATGTTTCCCAAATATCACATATTCCTGGAAAAGTAACGGTGTCAGAAAGAAATGGTATTAATGAAACAAAACGAGCCAAACGTTGCTAAAAATATTTAATGAAAAAAATATTTCATGTTTTTGTATGTATTTTGTATATTTACATATTGTATTTGATTATCTGTTCCACCTACACCCGTCGTTGTTCCTTCATCTGTTGTTGCATTAAGTGGTGGCAATGGTAATGGATGAAGAAAACGTGGTATAAATACAGCTCGACCATTAATATCGGATACTGTTGCTTTATAATCTCGATTAGGAAATTTCTTATTTAATTCTTCAACCCAAGAACGAGCATGATTAAGTAATGCAAGTGATTCTGTACTATCAAACTATAAATTAAAGAATTAATAACTAATCTCGTAAAATATTATTATTATTCTTACTGATTGTTGAAATGTTTCCGGTGGTGCTAAGACTGGTTCCATTGTAACAAACATTCGAAGAACACTAGCTGGTAATTGCATTCCACTTGTTTCAGGTCTTGCTTGATTTAATTTTTCTCTTACATAACCTAATAATGGATTAGGTACACTTATACGATAGCTACCTTCTAACTGCAAAAGAAAATTGTTTTTGTAAATTTAAATAAAAGAAAAAATTTTGTTTACTCGTCCATTAACATAAATATTGCTAAATGGTATTTTAACTGAACCAAGCCAATTTCTTGCAATACGTTTTTTTATAACTTGATCACGTTCACGATCTGTTGTTGGTAAATCAACATCAAGTTGATCGAATATATTTATATAGAGTATATCACGACAACGTTGTAATGAAGTTGCATCAAAATCATTATCGGGTGGCCTTGATGATAAAATTAAAAAATAAAACAGATGATTATATTCTCATCTCAGAGCTATCATTTAAAAAACAGTGCATTTTCTTTCATATTTCATTTTATTTTATAATCATGATGTTAGGAATATTTATTCTTTTACTTTGTCCTTGTATTATTTTATCTGAGCCATTACCTTATGCAGAATGGGCTCATCATCATATGGTTTGGTTACCAAATTCTCATTCAAATCAAAAAGATATTCAAACAATGTTCGATGATTATGTTAGTCATAATATAAAATTTGGAATTGTTAATATTGATTCACGTTGGGCAACAAATTTCAATACATTCGTATTTAATTCAACAAATTTTCCATCAGTTCGAAATATGCTTGATGGATTTCGAGCAAAAAATATTCATATTGTTTTATGGATGACTTCATTTATTAATACTGATTCACCAACTTATGATTATGCACAAAATCATGGATATTTATTTAATAAAACTATTAAATGGTGGCATGGAGAAGGACGTTTATTAAATTATTTTAATGATCAAGCTGTTAATTGGTGGCATAGTCAAATTGAACGACTTATAGATAATGTTGGACCCATTCATGCATTTAAAGTATGAAAATATTATATTTTAAATTATCTATATTTAGAAAACCAAAAAATCTATAAGATAAAACGTCATATGTGAAATTATTCACATCTGTTAATATGTAAAAATTAATTCATATTTTTTTCTTTCTTTAAGGCTGATGGTAGTGATCCATATATAATCGAACTACTTGACCCACATGTTACATGGGAACGTTATCGAAATGCTTATTATAATGATACATTTCAAATTTTACGTCGATTAATTGGTCCTGATGCTTTAATTATGTCACGTCCAGTTGATGCTGATCTAGATTATTCTCCAAAAGACATTGTTTTTATGGGTTGGGTTGGTGATGAAGATGCGACATATGATGGTTTAAAAACCGCACTTCGTTATATGCTTGAAAGTGGTCGTCGTGGTTATGTTGGTTTTGGATCTGATATTGGTGGTTATCGAACTGATTCGAAATCTGGTCCATTAGGTCGTACAAAAGAATTATTTCTTCGTTGGACAGCTGTTGGTGCATTAAGTTCATTTATGGAAAATGGTGGTAATGGAGAACATTTACCTTGGAAATTTGATAATGAAACAACTGATGTATATCGTTCATGGGTTAATCTACATTATAAACTTGTACCTTATCTTTATAGTGAAGGTATTAAAGTTGCACTTGGACGAAATGGTACATTAATGCGACCATGTGATGATATTGAAACATTATTTAGTCATTCATATTTTCTTGGTCCTAATATATATGTTGTACCTCTCTTACGAGATCCAGCTCCTGGTCAAACACAACGTTTATGGTTACCAAAAAGTTCCACAAATGAATGGATAAATTATTTCAATACATCAATTATACATAAATCTCATAGAATTATTAAAGAAGATACAAGTCGTCTTGATCGTATCCCAATATATGTTGAACAAAATTCTTTAATACCAATGTATGATATCGAAAAAGATTATTCTCTTAATGCATTCAGATTTGTTTTATGGGGTGAAAGTAAATTGAATGAAAAAGAGACAACATTATTTACACGTGATGGTCAACAATGGTTATTAAAATTTAATCATTCTCAACGAAGATTAACCGTACATTTTATTCAACATTATGATTCAACTGAAAAACAACAATGGATATGGAAATTTTGTCAATATGTTTATGACAAAGAATTTTGTTCAGATCAATGGTTAGAACTTTCTCATAATGCTTCTGTTCAACTTGATTATTTAATTTAAAAATAAATAAATAAATAAATACCTGAAGGGAATACGTAATTCTTCATTCCAACTTGGATTAGGTCCATCAACTGTACTTGTTCGATAAGTTTTCTTTTGAAATTGTATTTCAACATAGGGTCGAACAAGTGACTAAAAATAGAGTATAGATTTAAAATCAAATTGTATTTTTATTTATTTACCGTTCGATCTGTAGTTAATTTTGCTCGAGTTGATGATTTTTGTCGTTCACTACAAAAATTATTTCATATATAGATCATCATTATAAAATAATCTTACTTTTCAAATGTATCACGTCGAATAGGTAAATCTATAGCACCAATTAAATTAACCAAAATAAATACATCTCGATTAGCTGCTATTGATAGATTCGTGACTTTCTTTTGTTCAGTACGACGTCGAACAGGATATAATGGACGTGTTGGTTCAATATATAAATTAGATAAGATTCCGCGAAGTGCTCTGTTTGGGGAAATAAAAATAATTTTATTATTAAATTAATTTTCTTAATCATACTGAATATTTGGAACAGTCTCTTCGATAACCATTTCATGGTAAGATTTTCGAGTTGTTGTAAGTGTAAAACGAGCTAAAACTTGTTCTCTCATCTATTTATTTTAATATTACATATGAAGAAAAAATAAATTAAATAAAAAGAATTTACTTTTCGTAATTGTCGTTCACCTTGTCTTCGAACAGCATCAATACGTATTTGACGTTTACCTTGAAATTGCTGTTCAATACTATCAGCATCAGCAGTTTCTTGTTGACGAGCCATAAAATTCTATTGAATTTACAAATTCGAACTAAATCATAATGATATTTAATTATTCTATTTACTTTAAAAACTGCATGATCTTTTCGAACAAGATAATCATATGGTGGTACATTTTTAATATCTCTAAAATCTGGTATATTTTCTTTTCTTGCTTGTAATAATTTAAATCTTAATGAATTATCTATTTCCATTTGTTTTTTTTGTTGATCTGTTTCATCACTTTCATCAATCCATAAACGAAAATGTTGTAAAGCATTCATTTCAAATCGTGTATCACCACGTGTACCCATATAATCCTAAATAAAGAAATATTATTGCAAAAATATTTTTTTCTATTAATATTTATACTTTCATAAGATTAATAAGAAAAGCATTTTCTGGATCATATGGATCAAGATTTGATTGTTTAATCCATTCAATTAAATTTTTCATATTACTTAAATTAACTGCTTGCATACTTATATCATGTCGAATACCACCTGCCATTTGTCGACTACATTGAAGAAAAAAAACAAAATAAGAATGAATGATTTCCTCGAACTTTTATTTTACTTTTGAAATGCTTTCGATGTTGGATAATCTGGTGGTACAAGTACAACACCATCTTGTACACTCCATGCTACACTGGCATTTAATATACCTTCAATATTAAGATATATACGTTCTTTATCATCGATTTGTATTGGTACAGGAATTCCGGCGCCGATAGCTGATGTTTGATTTGGATTAGGTTGTCGTAAAATATTTGAACTAAATTCGAATGCTTGTAATTTATAGTTTTCCGTTGTGACAGTTGCTTCAGGAATAGGTAAATAAAGTTCAGCTAATGGTGAACGAAAACGTGTAGAAGATTCATATAATTCAATTTTAATTGTTTCTGGTGTACGAACAACATAACATGGAAATATTTGACTAAAACGTGCTTCGAATTCACTTGTTAATGGTCTGTACGAAAAAAAAACGATAGAGAAATTTGAAAAAAACGCATATAATAATAAAAACTTACACAGTTGGTGTATCTGTCATTAGTTTTCCATTGATTAAAATACGAGCACAAATATTTGAAGCAGTCTGAACTTGATGTCGACGTGCTCGTTCACGACTTAAAAATAAAATATGATTCATAATGACCTTTAAATAATGAGATTTACATACGCAGTACATTCGGAATCTGTAGATACTTGTTCAGAATAAACTAATTCAAGAAGAATTTCAGGTTCGTCTATAAAACAAAAAAAGAATTTTATAAATACACTAGATAAATTGATTGAAATATTTACCTGAAGGTCGTAGAGCATTTTGATATTTAGTTAATATTGTTGTTCGAATTTCATCTGGTTTACGAGGTTCTGGTTTTTCCGGTACAATAATATCTTCTTCATTAATAACTGATATATAATCCTTGACAAAAGAAAAAATTAATTAAAGTTATATTTTATTGATAATCTTACTTGATCGTAGTTACCATCACCACCACCAGTTTTTAAATCAGTATCACGTTTTTCATTCAAACGTTTTCGTGCTTCTTTCTATAATAGAAAAGGAAAGATATTGATTAAAAGGAAAAATTTTTTCATCAATAATCAACTTTTCGTATTGTTTGTAATTTTCTTTTTTTAACTATTTGTGCATAAACATCTTTTTCATGTTGATATTGTTCATTAGCTAATGCAATTTCATCTTCAATTTCTTCTTCAATTTGTTGTTGCATTTGTTCATAATGTTTTGTTTTCTTTCCAGATTTTCTATCATATATAAATCAATATAAGAAGAAAAAAAAAGTTATATGTACTGTTTTATTAAAAGTTTAACAGGTGTTGTTGTATAACTATTAAGACGACGAATATCTTTAATTTTTTTCCATGTATCTAATAAACGTTGAAGTAATTGCCGATCAAGTTTCATTTCATTACAACGTTGATTACGTGTTTGACTTTAAAATAAAAGATTATGATGAAATTTTCTTTATTTATAAATGATTTATTCATACCGAAGTTCACTTTGATAATTAATTAATCGATTGCGTAATTCTTCAGGTAAGGAAGAATCAGAATACTAAAGGGAAAAACAAATGAATGTATTTCTAATAGAAATAGAAAAAGAATTTACTCGATTTTGTTCATATAATGTTCGACAATTGTTTTCTGCACTTTTTAAAGCTTTAATCTATTTAAATAAGAGAGATTCGTTTTTTCTTCTGTTAATTCTAAAAGAATAAACAACAAACTTTATCTGAAAGTTGTTGAACAATATGCTGTTGTGTTCGAACAGTATAATGTTCATACATTTGTTTCATTTTCATTGCAAAGACATGTTCAATACTCATAAGATGATGATGAATAAATGTTATTGTACCTAAATCGATATCTAGACGATAACGATCAGCACCAATAGGATCACTTGATATGCCACTTTCACTATCAATTTTATAAGCCTAAACGAAATAAAAATCAATATATGAATGTAGAAACAGTAGTATCAAAGGACCTTATAAAATTCTCTTTCTAATACAGGATCAAAGAGATCATCAATAAGTGGTCGTGTCGGTACAAATTTAGTTGGATCAGGTAATGAAATAATTGCTCCATCAGGTCCAAACCAACGACTAATTGGCTGAAATTCATGAAAAAAATTGAAATTGAAATATTTCGTCAAATGATCTTGAGTTTTTACTTTATTATCTGTTTTACATTCTTGCAGTATTCGTGTTTCTGCTCGATGTATTAAATTAATTGGTACAATAGGTCGTTTACCAACAAATATGCCTTCTTCTTCAAGCGAACGTGGTTCGATTATTCCATCTCCAAGTTTTTCTTGAAGACTTACTGAAAAAAGAAATACAATATACAAAAATATTGAATGATAATCATATTGTTACATGGATGAGCAGTAACAACTTTAAATTTTTCTTTTTCAAATTCACGTCGGTCATCTTCATCTAATATTATATTTGCTCGTTGATATTGAGCTGGTTGTATTTCTCCAAACATAGGTAAAAGTGGTTGTTGATCTAGAAATAAATAATAAATTATTATCTAATTAAACAAAATTTAATCTTTTAACCTTCTGGTAAATTTTTATCTCGAACAGAAGTTGGATCATCAATTGGTGCAGTTGTATCGGTTGTCTATAAATAAATACAAAAAGGCCTTTTTTTTTGTTTTGTTAGTTATTTTTTGACGATAGTTTACTTTTGGTTCTTCTCCAACAATATTATCTGCTGTTGTTATTCGATTAGTAGGAGTTGAATCTGTTTGTTGTTCAGGTTTTTCCGTTGGCCAAACTTTAAGAAAAAAATCATCCCGTTCCGCTGGTAGTATTGGAATATTCGTTGAATGTTTAATTATTTCTTGCCATCGATTTGTTCGACCCTTAACAAACAAAGATATACATCATTTTATTGATAAATTCGATTTAATTCAAACAAACTTTTTGTTTTTCATCAATTTCATTTCGTACAGTATCATCTCTTTGTTTTTCATAATCAAAACGTGTTGAACGATCTCCTGCATTCGGTGAAAGCATTTGTGATGCATCAAGATTTGTTTCATGCTGACGTATCATTTTTGAAAGTTTTAATTCACTACCCGTACCAAAACGACGCGAAGTACTCATCGTTGTTTGTTGATCTATATTTATCATAAAAAAAAAGCATTTGTCATATCTGTTGAACTCATAACAGATAACTTTTTTTCGTATTATACTAACCATCATCAGTTGATTTATTAAATCTTGATTTTTTTGCCATTTCTAAAAGTTGTTCTAACGATTTGCCACGTGTTGTTTCAGTTGGTCGTGGTACTTCTTCTATATGTGAAGGTTGATCATCATCTGTATCACCAATACGTTTCGAAAGTATTTCTTGTTGTTCACGTATTTGATCATTTAATTCATTTTGATCATTATCAATATCATCCGATGTATGAGTTCTTTTTTTGGATTTTTTACTTTGTTGTTGAACTTCATTTACAATTCGACGATGTTGTTTGGCTACATGTGATACAAGTCGATCGGCATTTTGAATATTTTCTTCTTCTTCATCATCGTCACGTTCAATTGGTGGTGGTAGTGGTCGTTCATCTTCATGAAATGCTGGATTATCATGTTGTTGAGTATGTGGAGATTGTTGTGCACGTCGTTGACGACGTCGATCAGCAATTGCTGATCTTGCTGAATCTCGAGGACTAACATCTGAACTTGAATCTCTAACTAAACTTTCTTGAGATGTATGTGCACCAGCAGCTCGACGAGCACGCATTCGTTGCTTAACAGACCTTAGACATCGAAAGGATTGGATAAACAAAAAAAACAGAAAAAAAAAATCAAACTTACGGATCCATTTTCAGTTCAATTTGATATTAGAATTATTAGATCATAAAAAGCCATTACATAAATGCATGACAATGAATCCTTGGTATCATCCTCTATATGCATATAAAATTAGAAAAATTTAGAAAATATTTCATTTAATTTATAACAAACATTAAATAGAACATATATAAAATAATAATTAAAATTATCGATAGATGGCATCTATTTATAATTGGTCAATAAAATGTACAAATCATTTTCTTCATCGTTTGCGATTGTCTCAAATTTAATCTCTTTTTTTCTCTTACTCATTTATTGACTTTCAACATAAATATCTATTCAAAATAAATTTCATGGATAATCAAAGTAAAAAAAAAAACATGTGTATTTATTTCGTATTTAAACCTCTTGTTTGTTCATTTAGCTGAGAATGATGTGCCTTCCGATGCTCCTCATGCATGTCCTGGCACTTCAAGTGCTGATGCTGGACAAGTATCAGCTTGTGCTGGTTGTCCAAATCAAGCAATATGTTCATCGGGCGAAACACGACGTGTTGATCCAGCTATTGTTGAAATAGGTCAACGTTTATCATCAGTGAAACATATTATTCTTGTTTTGAGTGGAAAAGGTGGTGTCGGAAAAACAACTGTTGCAGTGATGTTAGCGCGAGCATTAGCACGAAATCCTCAATTACGTATAGCTTTACTTGATATTGATATTTGTGGACCAAGTATACCAAGAGCACTTGGTGTCGAAAATGAACAAGTAAGTTCTTTGTTTAGATGTTTTTTTTTGAAATTGATCTTGATCTACTGAATCAACTATAGATACTTTCAAGATATTATTTTAGCAGATATAATACACGATTTGTAATTCTCCAATTTCCCCCCCGAAGCGTCTAATAGTCTTAGAGGATCTCAGAATTTCCTAGGGGAAGTGGACTACGCCACTATTCTAGACTATCTGATATAACTTTTAAACTTCTGTTAATAATTGTATCATTTCTTTCCAATACATAATTCACTTGTGAAATCTTCGGATAAATATGTTGATGTATAGGAAAAATATTCTTGCGTTATTTTATAGGTACATTCCAGTGGTTCCGGTTGGTCGCCAGTATATATTACGGAAAATTTATCTGCTATGTCAGTTGGTTTTCTATTAACATCTCTTGAACAAGCTGTTATATGGAAAGGTCCACGTAAAGATCATATGATAAAACAATTTTTATTAGATGTTGATTGGGGTGAAGGTGAACTTGATTATTTAATTGTTGATACACCACCAGGCACATCTGATGAACATTTATCGGTTGTTAATTATTTAAAACATGTTTCATCATTATCTGGTTGTATTCTTGTAACAACACCACAAGAAATATCTTTACAAGATGTTCGAAAAGAAATATCATTTGTCAAACAAACAAATCTTAATGTACTTGGTATTGTTGAAAATATGTCGATATTTAAATGTGGAAAATGTCATAAAGAAAGTCAAATTTTTCCAAAAAATAATGGAATACAACTATTATGTGAAACTAATCATTATGACTTACTTTCTAGTATACCAATTGATCCATTTATTGCTAAATGTTGTGATGATGGAGAAGACTTATTTGAAATATATCCCGATTCATCAACAGCTAAAGTTTATTTAGATTTAGCTGAAAAAATTCAAGCAAAATGTCAATCGAAATAATCTTGACATATATAATCTATTTTTTTCTTGTTTTATTTTATTTCTATGATGATTTATTTTTTTCTTCAGATGAATGTTGATCGATTAAAATTTAGAAAATAATTCTACAAAATGGATGCCGATTTTAAGGCTCAATTAGATCTAGAAAGAACTAAAGTTGAAGATGCATTTAATTTTCTTGGTTGTAAAGTTGGTCGAGGAACATATGGACATGTTTATAAAGCGAAGAAAAAAGATGGGTTAGTCATATTTATTCTATTTCTTATTAAAAATATGTTTTTT